TCCCCCCCTTTAAAGACTGGAAATGATCTTGTGTATTCCCTCCCAGTCCTCATAACAAGGACTCTCTTACTGCTGTTTTTATTTTCTTTAGCTGATTTGTTCTTGTTCTGTGTGGCAGAGCACAAAATCAACGGCTGGAGAAATAGTTATAAGATCAGCAAGGATCAGTGGCCTAAGAAATAGCTACAGGATCCCAGGATTAAAAATCAGTTGTGAGTAGTGAATACAAAAGACAGGATCAGGTGCTACCCCTCAAAGACCATGCATCAATATCTGATTACAAGAATTTCAACAAGAGTCTGTAGTACAACTTGGGAAACTTAAGGTGTTAATTACTTTCAAGTACACTAATTAACACACGTTAACTGTGTGTAGAATAAAAAGGATTAATTATTCATTAACTGTGAATTTGCTCTTTGCTTCCACCTTCACCTCTTTTTTTCTTTCCTTCACCCCCCTTTCATACTGTATATATGAATACATTCTTCTACAGAACACCTACTTGGATCCAGAGTCGACAGACTTTCTGTACAAGAAGGCCATTAAGGCCAAAGGACTAAATTGGACAGTTAAAGAGTTGTAGTGTTTCAATACTGTACCAAGTCTGCACTAACACGCAGTCTGTAAATGGTACCCTTAGGCTAAGTGCCACCACTGCTATGCCACTGAACTTTATTTCCCCTTTTAGTCCTGCTGTTGGTAAATGCCCACTGCATAAACTGAGATCCTTGCTACTTTTGTTTAAGGGGCAGTACACCATTAAAAAATGAGAGAAGAGAATTAAGAGAGACGCATTTTATTCTTCCAGTTTTATCAGCAGCTTGAGAAGACACTGATGTTAGGAACACAGTGCTCCAATATTCTAAACTATAAGTAGAAACCTTTCTTTCCTCAGGTATATGCCAAAACATCTTCAGCACCCACCTCTCTGGGCAACCTGTTCCGGTGTTTCACCACCCTCATTGTAAAAAATGTCTTCCTTATATCTAGTCTGAATCTACCCTCCTTTAGTTTAAAACCATTGCCCCTTGTCCTGTCACCACAGGCCCTGAGAAAAAGTTTGTCCCCATCTTTCTCACAAGCCCCCTTTAAGTATTGAAAGGCTGCAATAAGGTCTTCCCAGAGCCTCCTCTCCTCCGGGCTGAACAACCCCAGCTCTCTCAGCCCGTCCTCATAGGAGAGGTGTTCCAGCCCTCTGATCATTTTTGTTGCCCTCCTCTGGACCCAGTCCAACAGGTCCATGTCTTTCCTGTGTAATGCCCATTAACACTAGAAAATATACAACAGGAAAATATCCCACATGGATAAAGGGTTAGATTAGATGGCTTAAGCGGTATTTTCCATCTCTAGCTTTGGTGATACCATGAAACTTTTTTTAGCTGCTAGTATGGTATTATATATTAATTTTAACATGTATCGGCAATTTACCTAGTAGTCTCAATATGTACAGCGTAAGTGACAAATAGCAATAGTTTACATTCAGAAGATTGAGCTTTACAGCATGTTTTTCTAATATTTGCTATTAAGCCAACTTTGTAATAAGATGGTTCAACTGATGCTGATGGGAGTTTTGCCATTGATTCCAACGGAAACAAGATTTCATCTTGGGATGCCTAGACTTATACCAGCAGTTTGTTATGACCTGATCCTGTGAGCAAGGAATTGTCTCTTGCTGATTTCTCATTACACTTAACTTTATGACAGCGAAAAGAAAGAAGATAAATTGAAGAGTTTTGCATTTCTGGGTATAGCTTGTTTCGAATGGTTGCCAAACCCAGGACCAGCAGCTTGAAGCATAGAACGTTAATGTCAATCAGCTTTAAGAGAGGAGGAAGGGAGTCTAACATATCTGCACAAAATGAAAGCACAAACATGTTAGTGTCTTCCTCTTCAAAGACTAAATGGGCATTTTACATGCTGCTGCCAGGCCTAGCAGCTCCCACAAAGACATGACTAGCAAGACCACTTAAATACTCTTCCACATATTCCATGTTTATCTGGCAATAATAACCATTACACATTGCTACTTGGTTTAGCACATCTGAAGTCTCACCACTCATTAAATTATGATCTTTATTAATGGCACTTAGGATGTTTATGCAACGTATATAGATACATGACCAGCATTCAGACAGTTCACTATACTATTTCTGAGCTTATTATTTTATTCCTTTTGCATTTCTCAGGGACACATGACCAACAGTACTGATTTCTACACACGCATGATGAAAGTTAATATTTGTCTGTAAGACTAGGATTCCTGCTATACAGCTGAGAATACTCTGTAAAAGGGAATTACAGAGACACAATGGCTGTACTCCTTAAAAACAATAATCCTAAGTGCCAGGGAGAAATCATATGCTAGGGAAACAATGGCCTTTGGAGCTGGACTGTCAAAGTCAGCTTTTAAAGTCATGATACTTGCACCTGGAGATGTAGTTTAACTCATTTTTCAGAGAGCCCAGCAGCAAAAAATCTGACTTCTGACTCTCCCTTGGAAACAGTGATTTAAACACTAGCAAAGTTTTTCACTCAGGAAGGCCACAGAAATTAATGACAGCTATTAAATTATTATATTCCTCACTGTTTTCTGGAAATTATACCTAAAAGCTGTGAGTTAGAAATATTTGTTAAAGCAAAAAAACCCAGCCAAAACACTGTTACCAAATAAATATGAAAAAGCATTGCCTGGAAAATAACCTGTGACTCTGCATCTTGTGTAAAGACAAAACCAAACAGTTTTTCCCCACTTGTTAGAGAATACCCAGTCTAACATATAAAAGTTTTCCTTTTTGACATTTTTGAGCTTTTGTGGTCAGCAAGGTCAAAGCAAGCTGGTGAAATCACAAACAGCCTGCCTTACTGTTTTTCATGATGGTATTTTTTCACCTGACATAAGCTCCGTTAAAGCCACATATTTGCTATTTCTTATATAGGAGGTGTCAGCTCCATGAAACATAAAATTTTATATGCAGAACTTATAAACCAACACAAGAGGAAAAGAAAGAAGAGTAACACACTGAAAAGCCCACAGGACAGAATAACTTCCAGTTTTAATAAAACAGGACACACTATTTGTCACTAACAAGAATAATGTTTTCTTATGGGAACAGATAATTTTTTTTTCTGGGAGCAAGCAGATGAAAAGGTTCAGTACTGCTCCCACACTGAACATCTGCAGATATTTATTTTAGGCAAATTGGGCCTGCTAATGGAGATTAATGAGCTGTGTGGAAACTCTGAAACAAAACTATGTTCCATGGTTAACCCACTGGCTTTGAAGCTGATGCGATGGAGAGAGAGCTTCACAGGGATTTCTCACTTTTACATTACAATCCAGTTAAACAGTAATACTGATGTATTAGTATGTACGAAGCAGTCGGAAAACTATATCTACTACCTATCATACCATGTTGTTTCATTTTCAGTGGTTTGGGGCATTTTCCAGTTACCAATTCCATAATTAAATAAATAATAATAAATTAGCATACTACATTAGCAGCAACAAGACTAAGCAGCAAACTTAAAGCAAAATACCTTAGGATTTCAAAAAACATTGTTAAAGCATAACAGCAGGGACTAACACCAGTAGAAAATCTAGCCTAGCAGCAATATATTATACACAGAGACATATACATAGATTAGGAGCACGTAAAATGGCTATACTTCAAAACACTGCGATTATCACCATTTTTATTTGCTCCTCTACGGACCCTTGAGTGTGCCCTAGGCACAGCAGGCCACACTCGCCACTCTGACAGGAAATACCTCATTGCTGACACACAATTGAAATATCATTCTGAACAGAGAAGAACTTTTGCCTTATCTCTGGAGAGTTATCTGAAATAACTTTTTTCCAACTTTTTCAATGCCTGTTTCCTGACTCTTGCTCAAACTGAAATGCAAAAAAACCCCAAGACTACGTGCAGAGCCCTTTGCATCCCAAATCTAACGAAGGAAGGAGAAAACATTAATGAACTTTCAATAACAAAGCTCTAGAGTTTTATTCTGTCACTCTCAGAACGTAAGAAAGCTTAATTAAAGAGCTCAAAGTTAAGCATTATAATGGGCTTCTCATGCTTCTAATTCAAATTTCACACAAAAATGCAACTGGTCCCATTCCTGGCTTGCAGGATTCTCAGGAGCAGCACTGTTATGTGCTCATTTGTGCAAAGGCTAGCACAATAGGACTTTAAAAATTAAAACAGTCTTCAAGAATGGCAGGAAGTTTCATTTTATTTTATGCCTTTTTATTGCACTGTGATAAACAATATTCATGGGTTTCAATAGAATGAATTAGAAGCTACGGTCTGGCCGTACTGTTTGCTGCCTATTTTGTTGTTGCTGTGTTTGTTTTCTGAACCTACTGTTTATTAACACTGATTAATTATTCATGTAGCCAGCTTCTCATTCATGGGACATAGTGCAGTTACACTGAATATAAATCTCACTCCCCTACCTACTGGTGGAACAAAACTTTGAACAGGTTCCTGAAAACATAGCTGGAAAATCTGCATGAAGCTCATGACAGTCAGAAAGAGGCATGTGCATTTACTTGAAGAGCAAGCCACCTGAGGAGAATGGCAGCAGTGAACTGTTGTTTCATTTGCATGGATCAATGTCCTCTCTTATATTACTGTGCTTGGAGAATCCCACTGAGGCTGCAGACACATGGGGCTAGGAATGTGTCCTTGCCAAAAGATGAACTGGTTGAACTGTATTCTCAATAAATACGTGCTTCTCTCTATGAAAAGACAGACATGCTCTCTGGTTTTATGGGCTCACTTTCAAAGTCCATCTGAAAACAGGCCAAGTCATGTTTGTCTGTTTGTGTTACACGGTGATATGATTAGCAATTATATTCCAATTTAGGACAAGGGCTTTGGATGAAAATTATGGGAAAGAAAAGTGCACTGAAAATTCACAAGCTGCTTTTTAAAAGTACAAGGGCCACAAGTCTGCCGTGCCTGTAATTTTCCAGTGGACTTGGCTATGACAATATCCTCATATCTTGTTTCAGCAGTAAAATGCACAAAGAGAGTAGTTCAGTGGCAGCTGGGCTGCTTATATTTTCTGGATGCAATGATGAATGGAAACTATAAAGACTCTGAGCAGAATGGCATGACAATAGTTTTAATGGCTTGTAATACCATTTGCTAGGGTCTGGTCAGGTCAAGTAATTTACAAACCAGAGAAACTAGGACAATAAAAATAAACTGCATAAAATCAGAACACATTTTAATATGAGTCATAGCTCATATTCAAGATGTTTGAATATACATTTGTACCTGGCAAAAGTACACAGTTAGTTTTGAGCACATCATGAATTTCAAAACACTGGAGTCTCAGTTTGAACTGCAGTTCTTGATAGCTAAGGAATCTCATTATGGACACAGCCCAGAAGGAACACAGAACTGGTCATTTGGGCTAGAGAAGTCAAACATGCCCACATATGGCACAATCACCTAAAGTCTTCTGCATGCTGTTGGCTACAACAGATATTGTGCCTTAATTACGCAACCCTGTGGGTCACCAAGAGCAGGAAAATTTAAACTTTTTTTGTAATGTACAGCAAGTGGAGATTTCAGATAGAAAATAGAGAAAGGCAAGACTGTCTTTCTGCACGACACTTTGCATTGTTCAGGAAAGGGAACCCTCCCTATATGTGCATTACTGTCAACAGGGACTCCATCTCCTCCTACATTCTCTGTGACACTACTGCCTCCAGTTACGCACAGCAAGTGCAAGCTCAACCAGAGGTGGATTATCTTATCCAGACTGAGCTACTCTTAAGTAGGAAATGCGGTATCTATCACACCAAATAAAACACCATTCTATAAATAAATGGAGATGCTTGCCAGCTGACCGTTTGAAACAACACTGTTAGAGACAATATGACAGTTGCAAAACTTTGCTACTCCATCACTACAGCCATACCTGTCTTTTGGTCACAGTGCCATCCACAGGATCTATGTACTCAAAGCTGTCTGTTCTTTCCACACTGTAGATATTGTTACCCACAGCAAACTGCTGATGGCTGAACGATTTGTCAGTGATCAAAGCTTCCAGGTCTCTCATTATGAAATATGCTGTTCTGGGTTCCAGTGCTTCATAATCAAACCTTGCACACATATAAAAAAAGTAGAACCAAGAAGTAAGACCTCTACAGCTGAGAAAAGAGTTCTGCTTTCACAGAACTCAGTATACTCACAATTAGCAAGCTACTGCTTACTTCAAAAATCAGAGGTGGACCACTAAAGTACTGATTGCAAATTAAACCAGCACATGCATGCAAGTCCTATGCAATCTGACCATTATGTGTGTGCACCACAGTTCTACACTGGCCACCTGACTCTGAGTCAACAGAAATCACTTGGAAAAGCATGGTTTCTAAAGCAGTGTAGAAAGTGTCATCGATACACAGCTACCTTTCTGAGATTAAGGACACAATCAGTGCAGTGCTCAACAGCCAAGTGAAACAGAGAAAACTTTGCTACAAGTTTTGAGGAACAGCTGTGTGCAAAGACGTTACGGATGTGTGAACTCCTGTGGATTAACTCTGTTCTGAGAGAAAGACAGAGGCAGAAGCTAAGATGTAAATGACAGAATTCACCCTTTTGAGACCTTAATAAAAATGAGTAAATGTTCAGATCTTTGGAGGTGTTCTCCTGAATTAAAAGTAGGCATAGTTCCAGCTCTCACTGAAACACTGTCACATGGAAGCACACACGGAAACAAATGCAGGAGTAAATCTTGCTGGGATTTTAATTTTTTTCGACACCATGTAATAAGCTATGCCTACAGATTCCACAAGCAAATAATTCAAATCTTTCTGCCATTCGATATCAAAAAATTCAATTACTCACATACTAGAAGTGACATATACACACTGCTCCTTCAGTAAGTAAATAACTTCTGCTGCCACTTACTCATCAGAAAAAACCTGCCTACAGAACAGTGGCAATCTGTAGCAGATTTTCATTCTGTGGACACAGCAAATGCACACCTAAATGCAGCTCAGCACAGCTCAACAAGCCATGGTTATAGCAGAATTGTCCTATCAACTGCATAAGTTCCTTGTCTTTTCCTTATTTTTCTCACCTGCAGTAGTAGTGCCGGCCAAATTTTGCCCAGTGATCCCTGACAATCTCCTCCACGCTCTGCTTTCGAGCTGCTAGGATTGAAAGCCACACTAGCACAGCCCATAGTCCATCTTTCTCTCGAAGGTGATCAGACCCTAAAAAGACATACGTAAAGCACATTATTTGGTATCATTGCAAATCAGAAAACAAGGTAAAGAGGCTGGGCAAATGTCTCATTAACTTTGTATGTCACATAACAGTAATCAACAGTACTAACCTCGGCAACTCTGGTATCTTCCAGACGGACAACCAGAACTAATGTTTAAAATGTAATTTATTTATATATGACAAAGTCTGTACTCCTAAGGTTAAATAAAAAGATGTACAAGTATTTGAATAGAAATTGGAAAGTAGGAAAAAAATTTTTAGTCATGATTCCTGCTCACTGACCTACAGGGTGTTTTCACACCTCTGGTACTGTTTTGCAGAACTGGGCTACATATGCAAACCTTTGGCCATGAACCAGAATGTTCTGAGTTATGTGAGTCAAGTTCAACAGCATCTCCTTGTCTCTGCACATGTTCACCTGTCAAGCTGCAGAGAAAGAGTTTTCCCATTCCATGAAAGATGAAGATTTCCAGAATGTTCATGACCTCCCATCAGGACAAAAAATGAGAGCCTGAAAAAATGTTTCTGGAAAAAAAACAAACCAGAGAATAGCACTTTTCCCCCTTTCGATATTTCTCCATACCTCTCAGTGGTAAAGATGTTTGGATGCTCAGATATAAAACCGTTCGTAGGTTAACCTTTATGAAGACAGAAATTGATCCAACAATGGAGACTATGAACAATTTTGGAATACCCCACAGGATTTAGCACACACTCTCAGATATGGGAGGCACAAGTTCAAGTCTATTATCTGAATTCAGAAGAGCACAGACATAATCTTGCACTTCCCATATCCAAAGCCAAAGTGCCAGCTTGGAGTAATAGGCTGCTCTGCAATAGACATGTAATGTATCTTAACCAGAAATATTTCTGTGTAGCTAAGCTTTGCCTGTTAAAACTGGAATGTATCAATCAGCAAAAAGTTTGAACAAAATCAGTATTTTCTAACAAAAGACTGTTTCATGGCAAGTTTCTTGGTCATCTCAGCAAGTGCGCTCTCCTTTTGGATAATTTAGAACAAGCTTCTGTGGCAATATATATCTAACCCAGATTACCAAAAAATCACAAGGAAGCATGCATGAGAATTAAGACGAAGTAAGATCTGAGACATCTGACACTCAGTAGATACTGATGACAACTACATAAGCTAATAGACTCAAGAATCTTGAAGAGACATCAAATACGTGGCCATTGCTCTGGCATAACAGTACTAGATTTGGTTGAAGTTTGCTAGCTGCAACCTTATCACTTTCTGTCTAGTCACACATTACTGAAACCCTGAGTACAACGCAAGTGCAGTAATCCGCAAGTTTTGTTTCCTCCATGAATTACCTACCAACCAGGGAGGCAATCAGTTGGACTATCTTAGAATGTACCCTTAGAACGTACTTAGCAAAATCCTCCAGAGAGGAATCTAAAAAGTCGTAGGTTGAAAACTTGTTTTATGAAATATCCTCCCTCCTCAAACACAAAAATCCTGTGGCAGTAAGAGTGCTTTGCAGTGCTGTGGCTTTACAAAACAGCCTCTAAGGTTTACAGTCATCTGTCAAAATGGCTCTGTTTTGCTACTGGCGGAAGACATGGTTCCCATAATATAAATTGATGCACTGGAGATGTTAATCCTGAGAAAAACTGTCAACAGAAAATTAAAGACATATAAGGAAAACAGCAAGACATGCAGAGAGCCACTGTGATTCCTAGGGTTCAGTCTTGATGTCCATCTTCCAGTCACTGCTGCTGCGTTGGACTTGGAGTCCCTCTTCCTGGGAGACAGCAACAGTCACGGTAGCAGCTGCTACTCATACACATCTGCTAAGAGCCCATCGTCCTGGGTCTGCCACAGCTCTGCCTCCCCCTTAGTCTTCTTGTGTTATGTTCAGCCCTGGGGGTGTAGACCTCCAACACCCCGAATCTAACATTAAGCAGGTTAACTACTACAGAGTTAACTAAATGCAGATTACTATTTCAGCTGGATCTGGAGACCGGCCCTGCTACAGCATCACTGGGGCAGGGGCTGATGGCCCTGGGGGCTGACATGGGGTCCTGGGCTGTGGGCAGGGTGGGGGGGCCCCCGGGGGCTTCCGGCCCTGCTACAGCATCACTGGGGCAGGGGCTGATGGCCCTGGGGGCTGACATGGGGTCCTGGGCTGTGGGCAGGGTGGGGGAGCCCCCGGGGCCTTGGCAGGGCCCTTGTAACAGCAAGCTCACCCCACCATGGCTGTTGCTTTCCTTCTTAACCTGCTTGCCTCTTCTTTCAGCCATTCATCGTTAGCACTGAAAAATTCAATTTCACTTAAAAAGCCATCTCGTTTGCTGATATTGCCAGCAACTTAAACAGCTTAAGTGCCTCAACAGACACCATCAAGAAGTGGAGACATGGTATTGAGCTGAACACCTCAGCAATTTGTTCCAATGTAGACGACCATTTATTCTCCTGTTGTGTAACACTCTGCAGACTGCAGGCCAACGAACTGTACAGTGAAAGGCACAGCATCCATTCAGCAAAATGGCCTATACATCATGATATCAGTGCAACGGTCTGAACTGAACACCAAAGAAGAGATGAGTTTTGATTTAACAAACAGTTCGAGCATGTTTCACTGAACCAAAATGGTCCGGTGAAACACGGACGGAAGAATTTTTGGAAAGCTCTCTGTTGTGCTCTAAGCCTTGTTCTGGCACGGCTTAAGCTCATAAATCTCTACGAAGAGGCATAAGTGTGTACACTTATCATTCTTCTGATCCATTTAGCAGCTTTAGCATGTGCTGTGTCCTTGCGTGTCCTTCAGGAGGACACACAGATTGTTGCTTCTCTCTGGAAAGAGAAAGCATTGGAAGAAAGTAACCCGGAGGCAAAAGTCTGGATGGAAAAGCTGGAAACAACCCAGCTGTTCTGGAACCAAAAGTCACCAATTAAAAACACTAGCCTGATGTGAGTACAGGGACAATAATCCTGTGTGCCCAAGAAGTGCCTCAGTTTGTTATTCTTAATAGGAGGAAAATTGACAACTGGGATTTCTCAGAACTTGTTTATTCCACCTCTTTCTTTCACCAGCATATCCACCAGCTGGGTTACTATATGGACATATGTTGTTCTGTTTAGTGCCCTTCTTTCTTTTAGCAAATGAAAATCTATTACTGCAACTCTGTTAGTCAACTCTGTTTTTCACCTACTGTACAGTTGTCTGTAGGTGTCTTTGCTCTCTCTCTCACTTATTCCTACTGCCCAGCTGACATGGTAGAAACTCTAGGGAGGGAGCTCATTCTGCTGCCTCAGTTCAGCTAACACCATTCTTCTTTGCTTTATAGATCCTGTATCTACTGTCATGGATCTGCAGAGGCAGAGTTGCCCTGTGCAAACGGATCAAGTAAAAGGTGCCCCACAACTGTGTATTCCTGAGATTGCAATACTAATATAATAGTCCTCCTGGCTTGCTGAGGGCTCTCGGCAATTTCAGGATAATTCTCAGTGATATTTTTAATTGAAACATCCAAGGCATTAATGAATTCCAGACTCTGTTTAAGGAGCTGAAGCAGAAAGAGACAACAGAACAGAGGAGTCAACAAATATTTTTCTGATTATCCCACTATATTTAATTTGCCATCATAAGGGAAATTGTAATAACTGCAACTACTTCAACAACTTATTTTTAAGTTAATTTGTCACATATTTCTCCATGTAACAGTAGCAAAAGTTATTTTTTACTACTGCAACAGTCAATTGCTATGTCCAGGCTCAGAGTAAACAATCTGGGAAAAGCTCTCAGAGCATGTTCCCATTCATAAAGAAGTACTCAGTTTAAACAGGCTTAAACTGAAGTAAAGTTTTGAGAGGCAGTAGCCTGAGAAACAACGTAAGATCATGCAAAAATGTTCATATTATGGTTTTTCTGATATTGGAAAGCTGTTGGGCATGCAGGCTGTCTTTTAGATGTCTACCTTATTCTGCATCTGAGATTTCCAATTCTGATAGAGACAGTGAGCCCTGAGGGTCATACGCATGAAGAAAATGTAATTGTTTTTCCCTAAATTAGTCATCTCTGCCTAGCGTATTGCATTCCGTAAATATAATCTTAAAACAAAAATCTGACTGAAGTGAGTATACATACTCACAGTAAATCATTTTGTTTGCACACACTTTGAGTCTTACAAATTTATCATCCAGCAATCTGAAACTTGACAATATTTCAGGCAAATGGAGATTTAGGGGCATTCTGATCTGTTCCTTTATTCAAGTTAATGAGATTATTTTAGATTTGTATTACTGTGACAGATACAACCAAACAGCTCTTCTAAGGCTTTCATTCATTTCAGCAGCAGCACATTTTTGTATTTTCCACTAGTTCTTCTTCTACATAATCTTGCAGGAGAAGGCAGCTGATGTTAATAGCATCTGGAAATTCAGAGATGAAGCATTGAAATTTATGAAAGATGTAGCAATTACTGAAGTGGCTTAAACTGCAGAAAGATAAATCAGCCACACAGCTCTCCTAATCCTGATTAATAGTTTGCTGATGAAATTTAGAAACTAATTGCTGCTGCTGACGCCCTTCTCTGAACTGTGTCCTGGGCATTAGTCATAGAACCAGAAAGCTACTAACCTCATCTGACAAGCTCCCCACACTGCTACAAAAATGGAAGAAGTTTTTAAAGCACTGGTTGAGCTCCAAGATCAGCTGCCAGACAACAAGTCTGGGAAACACAGCCCTATGGGATGTTTTCAAAATCTTTTCTCCTTTTATAGCAGAAAATTTGCTTTTATTTACTTGCCAGAGCAGAATCCCTTATGTTATAAAATCAGGCCTCTGTATTATTTGGAAATTCCAGCTGAGCTGGATTACCTGGGTACACAAGCAATTGGTCTCCAATTGGGCTGTTCATTTAGTTTGACAATAGACTGTGGATCTGTAAAACCCCTTTCTCTTGCACAGAACAGCAAGTTTCCCACTCCGATCAGCTATATGGTACATTTCTTTAAATATTTCACACTCAAAGCTAAAGAAGTGCCAAGTTTCAGTTCCCTAAACAGATATGATTGAGGGGAAAGCTGTAAAATTGATTCAAATGCGCAATACTGGCAGAAACTTGTGAGGGTCACGCAGCTTAGGACATTACTAAAAGATTCGCAATAAGGTAAATATTGATTGCTAAAAACAGCTTACATCGCTAAAGTATTGGTCACCTACAGACCAGACCACATTTTACAAACAAACCTCCTGGCATATGAGATATTTTCAGACAGCTGCATCGAACTGAAAGATGATAAGGAAACTGAGGCAGGGAGAAAAACAAACTTGAGGCATCATAGTCATTGCATAATTGCCCTGTAGGCACCGTCACGGTTCATTTACACAGTAACTACACACGCACTGAGGAATTTAAACCTAGTGCTCAAGTTGTCTGGATGCCCATGGGATTGCATCTTGAGAATTCAGGTTAGCTTTTAGATGGCATTGGCTTAAATGGGAGGTCAGGAGGCCTTCTGCACTGAAGCTCTGCAGGTACAACAAAGCTCATCTGACCAGAACCATGCTGGCTAGCAATACATTGTTCAAGCACCCTTAGAATTCACAAGAGACAGAATTTATCAGGAATCTGAAGAATTAATTACAGCATAGGAGAACCAGATTAAGACAGGAACACAGAGAGTGCTACAAACGCAGAGACTGGTCTGAGGTCAGGAGACAAGAGCTGCAAAACAGGAAGAGATGCTATAGTACAAAATGCAATTGTTTTAGGGCCCTACAGAAGGATACAAGCAAAGTAAAAAAGTAAAGTGTAAGAACAGGGGGAAGTTAGAGGAATTATCTTGCCTACCTAGAAGAACAGACAAACTCCAGGGGCCCTTCCTTGACTTCTGTGAGACACCCATCCCTCTGTCCCAAATTCAACAACCATTTGCTACTCAGGGTGATAAAGTTGAGCCAACACAGATCACAATGCCATCAGTGTTTCAGTAGATCAAGCCCTGAGACCACTTGATTCCTATATAACTGATCTGCAGGGCTAAAGTCCACCAATGCTTGGGACAGCCTGCTTAGCAAGACCTGAACATGCCTTTTCAATGTGCTATGGAAATTTGCTGTTTCGCTTTTTTTGTAACTACACCATGAAATTTTAATAGCAGGGCTCCTCAAAGGAGACAAGGCTTCTACTAAGCAACCAAAGATTCTTCGCTTCTCCCTGCGACAGGAAGCATCTGCAAGAGTTGTGCTCAACATCACCAGATGAAGATGGTCTAGGAGCCTTACTTCCCAAGCCGAAACAGGCCTGAGGCAGTGGTTTGTCATGGCCTATGGCACATAGAGGCCACCCCTGCTTGCTTTACATACCTCTACAGATAAAACTGCATGCAGCAGGAGATGCTGCACTCTGTGGCCTAAGGTACCCAGATGTACTTCAGCCTATGGGAACTCACCATCAAACTCCTACAAGCTCCTTCCAGTCAAAATCCACACTTCCTGTTCTTCAGCATGATTATGAAGGCAGGAGTTTTTTCCAAATAATTTGGGTGCTAATGAGGCCACACTGATGTCTCAAGACCCACTCAAGTTTCATGGAAATATTTGGTTTTGGATGAGCAGGAAGAACTTCATTATTTAGAGGGAAGGGGTACAGAACTGGCCTGGTGAAAAAGCATCAAAAAGCAGTGAGAGTTGAAAACTCCCCAGTCCATACCTCTCATGGGCAAATGGAGACATAGTCTAACAACACACCGCAACAAATGGCAGTATCTTCGGAAAGGTACAAGATCTCCCTGCCCCTCTCTCCAAGTTAGAACTCCCTCAGTGACCTTGCAGAAACGCCCCCTGAAGGTATCTATTCAAAAGGTTCATTCCAGGCAATACAAACCTGTGCCAGGCACAGCAATTAAGCCAAGGCATCCAGGTTGCTCATCCTGGGACGTTGGTTCCCATTCACAACAGAAAGACAACAAGCATTCATTATTAATTTAAATTCTGTTACTTTTTACAGACAGACACCCAAAGAAATCTAACACATTTTTTGTTCTTCCAACATAGTCCATTCAGACACTTATAGACAGTTAATGACAGGCTAACACATAAAGTGGCATATCTATGGCTTAAAGGTATCCTCATTTTTAAAAAAACAGCATTCTGCTCTGATTGACCTTAACCAACAAACTTAACACTAGACTTAACTCAATCAAAGCAAAATGAAATTTGTAACAAAGTTTTACTGCATGATAAATTATTTTCTAGGAAAACCTGTAGCCAACAAATTATACACCAAAATAAAGAACTCCATGGAACTCACATCAAAATATAGAATAAATTGTTAGCCAGGAAAATGGTTAAGTTATTCTCATATGTGCTCATTCAAAAACAGTTGAAACATAACCCTACTAATAAATAAAAAGGAGAAAGAATTTCTGTGCCAGAATCCAAGAAAGAAAAAAAGAAACACTGTGAAATTATTCAGGTTTTCTCATAAACCAAAACCACATTTGTGCAGATTTACAGACTACATATTTTAATCATTTGCTCTAATGCTTCCTGTCAGTACTGAATTCATGAGGGCTCAAATTTGTCTCTCATTCTACATTCTATTGTTTGACTGGTTCTTGGGACAGATAAGGGAGAAATACTTAGGGAAAACACAGATGCTGACATGTAACTGAATTTCTTCTAATTATGATTTTGAGTTTTGGTAATTGTGATGCTCCAAAAAGGCACACCTGCAACAGGTTTGATTAGACATATCATTAGATGTACCAATCCTCATATCCTGTACGCTGAATCACATTAGGAAAAAACATGAGGTTTTTCCATACTGGCAAAATCCCTCCAAATGCTGTTGCAGTCTGTGAAAAGACTATTACAGTGGAACCAGTGAGACCCTTCTGCATTATGTTCAAGTCAGAGGAGAATGCCAGGCACCTCCAAAAGCTGTCTGGGCAGTGATAAGATTACCTATGGCTTCTGAATGTCTACCTTCCACATTTTTCATACATCAAGGTACTGGGCACCAGAGTTGCAAGAAGACCCTCCAGATGTGAACGACTGACAGTTCTCTGTTCCAGCACAAGACAGAGTTAATTTGCATGATTCTTTTGGCTTTGACTTGAGGCACCCAGGAAAATTAAAAGCTGTCATTGAAAGTTGGTGGAAATTTTTGATTACGTATTACTTACCAGTGCCAAAGCTTTCCTCTCCACAAAGCGAGCAACGTCCAGAGTCCATAAGATTGGAAAAATATCTCCATCCTGTTGGTGTCTCATACACAGGAACCTTCATTATTTTTGCCACTCTGGAAAAGACACAATAAAACACCACAGGATTAAGACAGTGCTTTTTTGTCTCAGAACCTGACTTAAACCAGAACCTAGGTATGTTTATACACTAAGTGTAGTATTTTGGAAAATGTAGGACCACAGCTCAATAGGTTTTACCAGTATATTTCTCTTGTTACTGAGCAAGAAACTGTTACAACTAGAGTGCACGGTTTTGTTACACTAATATTTCAATGCAAGTTAAAGCATCATGTTGAAGTACTTTCCTTTACAAAACACAGGTGGCCAACACCTATACGCTTGAAAGACACTTTTACTTCTGTCCATGTGTTCAAAGCCAAGACAATAGAGAAATGTTTCCATGATGCAGCTTCTCCTCTAAAAAAGCTTTCCCAGTCTCAACCTGAGTCTGAACTTACTTTCCCTGTCTCCTCTGATGCACCTATATGAAATATTCCCACTAGCTGGCTGACCTGCCAGTATTTTCAAGAACCAAAATAAACCACCACATAAGCTGGATGTGCTTTCCCTTCCCCAGGTTGTTAACTGGTAATTATTCCTGTTATAAACTATAATGAAAAAATCCTTTCTTGGACTAAAAAACAAGAAAGAAGAAAAAAACAAATCCTCTAAGGAACCCACTACAAAACTAAGATTTATGCAGAATGAATATTACCATTCTTCTTGTGTTTCTAATTATTGGCTTGTTTTCATTGTATGCCTAGGATTTTCAGAGCCAACTGGTTTTTAATATGAAAAATAAGACTTGAGACATAGTCAAGCAATCTGACTGCCTCAAAAGGACCTTACAATCTCCCTAGGATTGTTGCAGTAACCACACCTAACAAACATTTCCTAAATTCCACCCCCACAGAAGAATACTTGACGTGAGACAACTTATGTAATTTTGACTGCAGTCAAGCTCAGGCAAAGCAGATCAATTAAAGTGGGATTCAACGCGCTTAAGACAATCCACCTAGAAGTTATGTGTCAAGGCGAAAGCAGTCATGTCCACGATCAACAGCGAGACACTTGTTTTCAGATGGTCCATTGCTCTGTCTTAAAGCAAGGCGTGTAAGGTAGATGGGATGAACTGTCCAAATACGCAAATACTGACCCTTTCAAAACCTGGTACTTAAATGTACCTATATGACAGTTCAGCCCTTAAGTATTCTCTCTGAAATCTTGAAATTGTTAATCAGCACTGGTATTAAGTCTCCAAATCCACTTTTTTTTAATGTAACAAATATCCTTTGCTATCTAAGTCTCCTCCTATTCAGCCTAGGTGTTCATTTTTATACTTACATATTACATCTAAAAAGACTGTTTTTTAAATGAGATAGAGTAAGAATTGATGATACTTATTTGAAAAGAGCTAGAGGTACCTGGAGAAAAAAATATTATCAAAATGTTTAATCCTAAACTCGGTTTCCATGTCTCTAGTTTAGAGGCAGAAACAAGTGTATACCTCCTTGTGTTTATACAGCACTAGCTATATTACTGGCCCTTACAAATGCTGCTGCATAAGGCAGATTATACAGTACGGAGCTGAACAGGTTTCTGGCTGGCTCTGCAAAAAATCAAGAATGTGAAAGGATTTAATCTCTGTGTGACAGTAACTGCAGGCTGGGAACAGGACCGTACTGCCAAAAACTAGAAAACAATCAACCAGAAAACAATGGCTAATATGCTGGACGAGCAAAACCAATTCTCTTGAGGTAGCCTAACAATACAGCAGGAACGTCTCTGCTTGCAGAATGTTCCCATATCCTGGTATTGGTTTTGGAGCAGGAAATCCTTTCACCCTTTCACTTTTCTGTATTCCTCTAGCCTGGGGACAAACAGCCTTGGATGGACCTCTCTTGACCAGCACCAAAGGCTTCCAGGGGCTGTAACGGTTTTCAAAGATTTCTATGCACTAGGCTAGCACTGAAAATACAGATGTTGATTCTGTTGGCATTAGGTTTACTTTAAACTAAGCCTTTCAAACATACAAACAAACATAATATACATATAAACATACATACAAAGTTTATAGTGAAATACAACAGTTGGTTCCTTGCAATGCTTTTTGCTCCTGACTCTCAAGATTTTAACAGAGTAAATAAGTAGAAGCATACTGAAAATTAAGCATACTCTTTTTTTATTGCCATTTTACTGAACTAAAGAATCATCACTGGAAGTCTCAATAAATGCAGAAGCCTTTATGCAACTTGTAGACATTTAAGGTGAATGATCACCCCAGGAAACATGACAGGGGTTCCCACAGGAAGATGCAAAAAATTCTCAGAGCTGCAGACTCAGAGAAATAATGTGCTGCATCAGATCAAACAAATAACAATGCAAACTACAGGAAAATACTCTCAGAGGAAGGAAACTAATATTCTGTAACTGGGAAATCACTAGATGTTCAAAGCCAGGGAAAACAGATTAAATGCGGGAAGGGATTTTTAATGCTTCTACATCTACATCTTTCTAAACAAGAAACAGAACTGGTATGACTTCAGTGCAGAGAAAGTGAAAAAAAAAAAACCACCAAACAAAACCCAACAACCTATCTTCATTTACCAAAACTTTTTTTCACTTTACACTGACCAATCTGCTTTCTTGCAGACAAAATGACAAAATCAGAGCTTTCAGTCACTGCTATGCCAAGTAGCCAGATTTTTTTTTTTTAAAAAGTGCCAACTGAGACAAAAGGGTAGCATCCCTCGTGGACCAAAATTTGGAAATTAGTTTCTAAGTATCACTGAAAGTTTCCAGTACTACCTAACACAGCATATGACTTCATGACAAGCTGGAAAGATACTAAGTAAATATTTTATTCTGCTAGGCAAATAAATGTTTAGGATGAGGGTTTCTGGAACTTGTAATTCTGCAAGAACAATTGCTGGTGAGTCATGGCAAAGTTTTTCGTTTTATCTATAACAAATTACAGATCCATTAATTACAATCTATGATGTTTTTAGCAATGTACCTTCACAGAACAGTTCAAACAAGTTTATATATATATACAGGTTTTTAAGTTTCTCTTCTTTCTGTACATTTACACTCGAGTCCCTAAATTTGGGGAGTTAGAAATGGAAAGTGAAGTGGTTACCATAAAAATTTTATTGTCTATATGAGATCTCTTGGTCAGACAGCATACTACTTCTCTCAGAAAGTGAGTTGTGGAACTGGTGCTGTAAGGAGTTTATATCTTGCAGAGGTTTCACTTATCAGAATAAATTTTATATGTCCTTACATATGTATCACACATATATATCATCATCAAGATACTGATGCAGTAGTGCTCCTGTAAGGGCAATACCTCAGTCTCTGAGTTCTCTGGGTGAAGGTGTTAGCTGTCAAAAGGCCCAACTTGATGGATGGAATATACTTCCTGAGCAATTCAAAATAAAAACTGGAAAAAAATATGCCATATGAATAGGTTAATTTTCCTAGTCTATTTGAAGTAAAGGCATTCTATTTGTGTCTAACCACACAGTTGATATACCTGTGTTTATATGTTCCATGAGTATGAACTATGTAGAAGGAATACAACAAACCGTGGACATTGTGGTTCTTGTCACCTCAGACATTTAATGGGACTGACTTCAAACAGTATTCTTGCTGGCCTTCTTTCAGCATAAGTGGTCACTACATCAATGAGATTACACAATAAAGTTTCTTCTGTCTGTGTGTAGCACTAATTAGTTCTTGCTAGACTGGGAAATGGGGTATTTACACTTGGACCTACACTGAAGGGCAATCACCTTAGTTATTCTGGCCATATCAGAGGTAAGGGTGCTTATGTTCCCAGTATGCTGAAATACTAATTAAGGAGAAAAAACAAATCAAAGAAGAGTGGACTGTACTTTTCGCAATTACACACATTATTTAAAACCATATTTTGTAAATTTTAAAAAAGCAGGAGCAGCAGATTTTGCATGGGAAGCTAATAAAGTGAGTTAAAATAAAAATATAAATTAGTGTAAGGTTATATAGTTAAATCCAACCTCCTACTGTACAATGTCACTCTCATTTTTAGTTTGAAGAGCTAGTCCCACACTATCTATACTGACTGCCCACCTTTTATTAAAGCATAAGGAGTACACATACAACGCAACCATAAGAAGCAGTTGAGTTATTTCATCACTAGAAAACAGAATTATTGGAGAGTTTAGTACCAACACAGAACTGTTAAGCCAATTCTTGAACTCTACAATAAGTCTCACCAAAGCATGAGCTGGCCAGTTCATAATAAAGGTAATAACAAACATAACAATAGTCTTCATAATGAAGATCAGAATTTTTGAACATCTGTCAGGAAAAAAAAATTAACAGCCAATTCTAAAATTGCTCCTGAAAGCCTTAACAGACTAATGTCTTACCTGTTCTGCACTAGGCAACTGGACTACTTATTGTACAGCTGCACATCTGAATGTCCCAGATCTTCTTCCTTATACTTCATAGCCATATGCATGTCACCTAACTAGGAAAGCAGAAGGTACAAGACTCTTGATAGCCCAAATGATTTTCCTTGGAGTTATAGTAGAAATATTATACTGCTTAAACTAAAACATAGTAAAAAGATAAGTTTCCATGGGAAAAAAAAAATGTTATTTTATTTAAAAGGGTTAAAGGAATGTCCCTGTGATACCTTCCTTTCAGTTTTCCACCCAGTGGAGACAACAGACTATTTTTCACAGATGGGCTAATAAAGAAAAGTGGTCCTTGAGTGCATCTCCCAGTCACTGTGGTTTTGCACTAGCAAAACACCACTGACTTTAGCAGAATTACCCTGACTTACATTAACGAAAGTCAGAGGGAAGTTTGCTCCAACCTGTTCTCTACAATGCCACAAAAAGTCCTGATGAATACACATCATTCAGATACAACAAATGGCCTGCAGCAAGCTGACTTTCTTGTGCCCAGTGCAACTTTTATAACTTCTGAGAATAGATCAGTCAATCAAACAAAATTATCCTGCCAAAGTTGTGACACCTGTTCACCACAAAGATAAAGGTCACAATGC